CCAAGGACTATGGGTAGAAAATAGGGAGTTTCTATTTACTGAGTGTAGAGTTTCAGTTGGGGAAGACAACAAGTATTAGAGATGACTGGTAGTGACAGTGATATGATAATGTGAATGTACTTAATGCAACTGGACTTTATATATTAAAATGGCTACAATGGCAAAATGTATGCTGTATGTGTTTCATCACAATAATACAGAAGGATAGGTTCAACACATTCTCTGTCCTGCAGGAGTCCTCAAACTAGCTTAAAAAGAGAAATGGTAGCTGGAGATTACACATGGTGTGGGGATCTGGAGACATTATGTGGCTGAGCGCGGTGGCAGAGCTGCACCTCAGGCTGCCAGCTGGGCTACATGGGCTTGCAATCTGAGAATCAGTGGGTCTATGAGCCCTGCAAATTAGGAATGGTAGCAAAACATGATATGAGAGCTGCTGCTGACAAGTCTGCACTTGGCAGCCACACCACTCTCTCCAGGTGCTCACTCTGCTTTACCTGAGTTTCACCCTCAGCTCTCAACTCAAAAAAAAAAAAAAAAAAAGAAAAAGAAAAAAAGATCCAGACCGGAATCTCTAGAAAAATGTACAAAACAAGAAGACAGCCTGGAGGTTCAATGGTGGGGGTATGGGTGGGCCAACCAACTGCAGAGAAAAATTCAGATTGGCAAAATTCTGAACCTTATCATCATCACTATCTGCATCCCTTCATAATCCATCTCAAACATCCTACTCTCTGGCAGCCATCTTGTATTTTTCCAATCAAAGCTCTCTGACTCCCAAGCATCATGATTTCTTGAGCCCCTGAAACTTCAAATGCAGGGACCCCCTAACACCCCCTCACTTTGCCTCCATCTTGGCATTCACGTGCTCTTTTCTCCTGTCCATCACAAACTTCCGTTGTAGCTGGCCTCTGCCTAATTGTATTTGCACCCAAGTAAGAAAATGAGGTTGATGAGAACATTCAGCTCTAAGGACTTCCTTTTCTATTCACATTCCCTTACCTGGTTTAACCTTGACTTTCTTTCTGAGCACTGGATCCCATGCCCTCTCATACATTCAAGAACTTTATTCCAGCAGGTACCCTTTTTCTTGCTTACAACATCAGTTTTCCCTTCCCGTTTGGTTCATGTGCAAGAGCATAAAAACGTGTACCTTCTAACTAAAATAATAAACCTCTTTTTTAATCATATGGCCCCTTCCCATTACTATTCCATTTCATTGTCTCCATTTACTCTTTGCCTTCTCCCTGGACCCATTGCAAACAGGTTTTGGTCATTCCACCACTAAAAACCCCCTTGTAAAGTTCACCACTGACCTCTGTGTGGCCTAGCCCATCACTCAGTTTTTAGTGCCAACTTTACCCACTTTTGAAACATTTGATAGATTGCTCTTTTTTTGGAAATGTATTTCACTTGGCCTTGGATACCATTCTCTCTCACTGGATTTCCTACCTCACTTATCGTATGTTCTCATTGTCCTTAATTATTTATTTTTCTGACTTCTGAACTTTGGAGTGCTCCAGGACTCAGATTTCTCAATTTTTTTCTGCCTACTGTCTACATGCTGATGACTTCCAAATTTAGATCATCATTCTCGACAACCTGAAAACTCCAAACATAAATTGTCCAAAAAGAACTCTCAATCCCAGAAATCTTATGCTTCAGGCAGTCTTCCCCACTGGCATAAGGAACCCATTTTCCGAGTAAAATCCTTGACTCTTCCTTACTCCTGATTCATGTCCTAAATCCAATTAATCAGCAAGTCCTACCAGTCTGTCTTCGTGAATGTAACCCAGAATGTGGCTACCTCTCATCAGCTTCACTACTGTGGAACTGGGTTTCTCCAGAGAAACAAAACCAACTGGAAGGAAACATGATAGATAGATAGATAGATAGATAGATAGATAGACAGACAGACAGATAATCTAATGCATATAGATGTATTAAATGTATATAGATGTTTCTAATGTATATAGATGTATCTGATGTAAATCTGTCTATATCACATCATGTTGTTCCTCTGCTTAAAATTCTTCTATGTCTTCCCATCTTAATCAAGTAAAATTTAAAGACTACCCTGACCACCAAAGACTTGCATGCTCTGTTTCTGACCCCAGGACCACCACCATCACTGTTCCCCATCTCCCTCTGTTCTGCCCACATTGACATTTCCCCAAGCCAAGCATACTTTGCCTCCAGAGGCCTTACATCTGCACCTGCCTTGATTGGAAATGGTCTGAATCAAAATGTCCACTGTGGTAGAATGAGAAGGCCATGCCAAGATGGTTGCTGGCAAAAGAAACTGCCTGGCAACAGGCTGTGATTGGATGGTTTCAGAAACCACATGGCAATGGAGCCTGCCTGGCAACAGGCTGTGATTGGATGGTTTCAGAAACCACATGGCAATGGAACCTGCCTGGCAACAGGCTATAATTGGATGGCTTCGGAAACTGCCTGGCAACAGGGTGTGATTGGTTAGGGCATAGACCGCGCCTTGACTGGATTGGCTGCCTTGGCTATATAAGCTGCTGTAGCAACTGAAATAAATGAGTCTGCAGGCTGCTTGCCTCAGGCCTGCTTTCACCCAACTCCCATGGTCTGTGTGGTGACTCCGCACCTCTTTCCCCCACCACGCTCCTCCTCTCAGAAAGAATCCACCTCAACAGTCCACATTTGCTTTCCTTCCTCAGTGGTTTTGTTATCTTAGAAGTCTTTGTAATAAACCTGTTTTTCAAAATGACAGCACCTTTCATCCCTCTTATTTTGCTTTAAAAAAAAAAAACTGTAATTTTTAAAGAACAGTTTTAGACTTACAGAGAAATCACAAAGATAGTGCAGAGATCCCATCAACTCTGTTCCCAGGCTCCCTTGTTGTTGTCTTACATTATTCCCTTTGACTACTGATTCTCACTAAAATGTACAGAGTGGCCATTAACACCAATGCCACATCCTGAATACTTCCCTGCTTTGAAATCTGCTCTACCTAACAAGCCCGTCTGTAAGTTCACGCTCACACATACCCTCAGGACGAGGACACAATGCAGTAAGGTTCTTTGCATTACAGTCACCACAACTAATGAACACTCCTAGATACTTTACTACTAGCAAAAGCCATACTTTGTTCAGATTCCTTTAGTTTTCGGCTAATATCCTTTTTCTGTCTCAGGACTCCACAGAATATCACACTGTTTCTCGTTCATGTCTCCAGAGGCTCCTGTAGGCAGCAGCAGTTTTTCAGCCTTCCTTGTGTTTGATGATCCTGACTGCTTTGAGTATTGGTCAGGTATTTTGTGGGAGGCCTGGCTATTTCAATTGGTGGATAGTTTTCTCAAGAGACTGTGATGATGGGTTTTGGGGAGGAAGGCCCCAGAGGGAAGGTGCCATTTTCATACCATCATATCAAGGGTACATAACACTAGTATGATTTAAGCTGGCTGATGTCGACCTTGAGCACCACTGTGAAGCTATGCTCTTCTCCCCTGTCCTGGCTATACTTTTTTTTTTTTTTTAAGAGGAACATCACTAAGCACAGCTTACACTAACAGAGTGGAGAGTCGTGGAGAGTTGGTGCTTCTCTTCTGTGACTACGGACCACCTACATAAACTGTTTGCAGTTTTATTTGGGGGGTTTGTCTCTTCTCTTGCACTTACTTGTGGGATCATTCATGTATACTAATGTGGACTCATAGATATATATTTATCTTGGGCTTTACTCCAATACTACCGTCACACCTATGTAAGGACCATTGGGCTAAGGACAGACCCCATATACCACAGTCGCTGTACAACAGACCGGCTGAATAGGAGACTGCTTCATGGGTTTGTGTAAGTATCCTTTGATTTTTGCACAAACAGCACATCAACTATTAAGGCAATTCTCAGAAATGTGCCATCTTTAAATGATGTTTGTTAATTTCTTGCTCAAACCATTCAAGCTTTGGCCTTTGGTTGCTTCTCTTTTTTTTTTTACATTCTCCCATCTTTGTGGGAGTTTGGTTTGTTTGTGTCTCTCTTTCTTTCCCTCCCTTCCTCCGTCCCTCCCTTCCTTCCTTTCTTCCTTTCCCCTCCCTCCCTCCCTCCCTTCCTTTCTTCCTTCCTTCCTTCCATTTATTTGAGAGGGGGAGGAAGAGAGAGAGAGAGAGAGCACGCGAGCGAGCGCACTAGCTTCCATCTGCTGGTTCACTCTCCAAATGGCTGCACTGGCCAGAGCTGGGCCGGTCTGAAGTCAGGAGCCCAGAGCTTCACCTGGGTCTCCCACGTAGGTGCAGGAACTCAAGGACTTGTGCCATCTTCAGCTGCTTTCCCAGGTGCCTTAGCAGGGAGCTGGATAGGAAGTGGAGCAGCTGGAGCACCAACCAGTATCCATATGGGATGCCGGTGCTGCAGGCAGCTAACCCGCTGTGCCACAGCGCTGGCCCTTATTTATTGTGTGTGTGTGTGTGTGTGTTTAATGAACACTATTCTTACCTTTAAGTCTCAGCCTCGGTCTTCAAGGCTCTTCCCACCGCCTTCCACAATACATACGCACTGTATCTGCTTCCCTATTCCCACAAAGACGTCAGAGGCTTGGCAATATTTTGGCCATGGTCGTGTCTCTGGCTCCTCAGTGAATGAATGAACTCAAACTGGCGTTGGCAAAGGTTTGAAGGGTGCCGGTCGGCGTGGGTTCTGGAAAGCCAGTGCCCAGCCATCGTGTGACCTGCAGCCTCGTCTCAGCCGTCCTCTGGCGGCCACACCCACGCTCAGAATTCGCTTCAAGCGTCCTCGCCACGGAAACGCACCCTGCTGCAAATGTCACCAGAGCCGCGGGGTTTCCCCGGGAAAGTCCGGCGCTTCCCGCAGGGGCCCAGAGGAAGGCGGGGGACAGATGATGGCTTCGGGTGGCCAATTACCCCGACCTCACGGGAGCGCCCGGCGGCGCACCGCAGGCGCGCGCGAGCCCCAGGTTCCGGGCAGCCCGGAGCGCACCGGCAGCGGGCGGGGCGGGAACCTGCGCGCGGGCAGCTGGTGGACGCGGCGCCTCCGCGCTGTCGTCCCGGGGCGGGGCCTCGATCCCAGCCGTGGGCTCTTGCGAAGTGTCGGGGGCCGAGCCGGCGGCGCCCAGATGCGGCCTCGGCGGCTCGGAGTTCGGGAGGCGGCGGCTGAGCCCAGCCTCTGGCGCGGGAGGAGCGGAGGCTGTGGGAGGCGGCGAGAGCTGAGCCGCGGAGAGGCGCGCAACAGGTTTTCTCTGCGTCCTGGCGCCCAGCGCGAAGCCGGCGCTCGGGTAAGAGAGCGGCTTCTCAGCTCGCACGGTCGCCCCGGGTCCAGGTTCGTTCCTTCCTGCCTGGGTCTCCTTTTCTGTCCCGAACGCGGGGAGCTGGGAGTGTGGGCCCAAGGAGGGCGGGAGGGGACGCTCACTTGCCCGGCGACAGGATGCTGGGCCCAGGTTTTCGGGTTTGGCCCTGGTCCACCCCTCGCTTCCTGGCCCTTAGGGACGCCACACTGGGTTTCTCGTACGGAGCGCAATGGCTTGTTGTTGGTTCTTATTTATTTCGTTTTTCCAAGGCGAGGGACTGAGGATTTAGTGGGCATTGTTCTCAGAGACACCTGTTGTCTGCCTTCTGCAAGGATCCACCCACCCCACTTTTGTGAAAGTGGGGGCATTACTTCGGCCTGATAAAACGGCTCACTTCCTAGTGGGGTGCACTTTCTCAAAAACAGAATGAGGACCTCTTGACTTGAACTTGACAGCGTGACTCAGGAGCCAGGAAATGCGGACCAAATGATAGCGCTGAGGCGGTTCCTGGCAAGCGCTCGCGACTTTCTCAGAGCACGCAGGCAGAGGCTGCCCCGGAGTGAATTCGCTGGCTGGCGGCGCCCAGAGGACCCTCACCAGGAGCCGCGCTTCTCCCCGCGCTGCGCAGGCCGGCCCGTGCAGAAGCCGTTTCTCAGCAAAGGGAGGAGTTGTTATTTCTACACGGGTCTCCAAAAATGAGTCACAGGGCTGCTCTGTTAATTGTGAGACTTCCTTAAGTAACTTTTGAAACGTGAGGTTTGCTCCGTCTGTCTTTAAAATAACAATACAGATGTGAAATGTATGCACAGCCAAACTGGGGCAGGCGGTTGTCCCAAGTGACAATTCCAGTTTTCAGTTTCCTAGAGCTCCCGTCTGGGCCACACATCAGCCAGGGTCATTTGGGCTGCTCTAAGATAGCCATGGAGATCGCGTGCTTTACCGTAGACGCCCAAGAAAAGGATTTTTTATTTTTTAATTTCAGAGGAAGAGGAAGGGAGTGGGGAGAAAGAGAGGGAGAGAGGGGAGAGAGAGAGGGAAGGGGGGGGGAGAGAGAGAGAGAGCGTGAGAGTGAGAGAGCGCACTTCCATCTGCTGGTTCACTCCCCAGACACCCACAATGGTTTGGGCTGGGTCAAAGCCAGAGGAACTCAATCCAGGACTCCCACGGTGGTGGCAGGAACACAATTACTTTAATCTGCCAGCTGCTTTGGCAGAAACGCAGGAGTCAGGAGCAGGAGCTGGGAATCGAACCCAGGCACTGGAATGTGGTACACAGGTGTCTTAATCTTCTAGGCTAAATGCCCACTGCCACAAGAAAGTGAATTTCATTATTCAATAACTGTCTTTCTACTTTCACTTTATGGCACAAATGCTCGTTTAACAAAATATCATTTAACAAAATGATTATAAATCCCTCTCTGAGATGAAAGTATTTCAGACAGTTAGTTTGCCTTTCCTGAAGCAGTGCTAAAACCACACACAAAATGCCATGCCAGTTGGAGGTGAGAAATTAGAAAGGTTAAGCTGACAGGTCCCACTGCAACTGAGCAGCAGATGTAGGAAGTGGCTGTGCACTAATCCAGCACACAGGAGAGAAGAGAAACAGCTAGCCCCAACCAGAGAGTTACCAAGCACCTTCTCTGTGCTAGCTCCTCCCTGAGCTCTGGTTATACAGCCGTGGAAGGACAGGATCCTTAGAGATGCATGGAAGGCCAACAAATACAGTGGAAAATCCAATATAATGAGGTGAGCGCCATGATCTATCTATGCCCAGCACAGTCTCTGTCCCAACCTGAGTGTTATTTCCTCAGATCTGTGATTTGGAATAGACTGGGTCATTGCTGGGGGAACAAAGAGGGTTTTAAGTTTAGCCATCTAATTGTAGAGAGCTTATTCTTCATTTCATAACAGATTTAATATATATTAATTAGAGAGGCATGATTTCAAGTTGTTTGAATTAACCATATTTCCTATTACTATTATTAAGATTATTTATTTGAGAGACAGAGTTACAGACAGAGAGAGACAGAGAGAAAGGTCTTCCACCTGCTGGTTCACTTCACAAATGGCCGCAACAGCTGCAGCTGGGCCGATCCAAAGCCAAGAGCCAGGAGCTTCCTCCAGATCTGCCATATGGGCGTGGGGGCCCAAGCACTTGGGCCATCTTCCACTGCTTTCCCAGGCCTTTTTTTTTTTTTTTTTTTTGACAGGCAGAGTGGACAGTGAGAGAGAGAGACAGAGAGAAAGGTCTTCCTTTTGCCGTCGGTTCGCCCTCCAATCGCCGCCGCGGCCGGCGCACCGCGCTGATCCAAAGGCAGGAGCCAGGTGCTTATCCTGGTCTCCCATGTGGGTGCAGGGCCCAAGCACTTGGGCCATCCTCCACTGCACTCCTGGGCCACAGCAGAGAGCTGGCCTTCCAGGCCATAATCATAGAACTGGATCAGAAGAGGAGCAGCCAGAATGTGAACCGGCACCCACAAGGGATGCCAGTGCTGCAGGTGAAGGCTTAGCCCACTATGTCACAGAACTGGCCTCCGTATTTCCTGTTATTTAATAACCAGGTAAAAATAAGCCCAGATTATTATCACCACTGGATGATCACAGACACTTTTAGTTATATATCTTTTGAAAACAGAGTGAATAATTAATGAACTATAACTGCTTTTTTTTTTTTTTTTTTTTTTTTTTTTGACAGGCAGAGTGGACAGTGAGAGAGAGAGACAGAGAGAAAGGTCTTCCTTTGCTGTTGGTTCACCCTTCAGTGGCCGCCGCAGCCGGCGCGCTGCGGCCGGCGCACCGCGCTGATCCGATGGCAGGAGCCAGGAGCCAGGTGCTTTTCCTGGTCTCCCATGGGGTGCAGGGCCCAAGCACCTGGGCCATCCTCCACTGCACTCCCGGGCCACAGCAGAGAGCTGGCCTGGAAGAGGGGCAACTGGGACAGAATCCGGCGCCCCAACCGGGACTAGAACCCGGTGTGCCGGCGCCGCTAGGCAGAGGATTAGCCTAGTGAGCCGCGGCGCCGGCCGAACTATAACTTCTTAACACTACGTTGAAGCAAATTTCTGAGTAGTGGTTTTTTTTAGATTTATTCGATTATTTATTTGAAAGAGTTGAGGGGAGGGGAATCCACATACACAAAGAGAGAGAGAGATCCTTCCTCTTGTTCACTCACCAAATGGCTGCAATGGCTGTGGCTGGATAGGACCAAAGCCAGAAGCCTGGAGCATCATCCAGGTCTCCCACATGAGTGCAAGGGCCCAAGTACTTGGGCCATCTTCTGCGGCAGGTGCATCACCAGGGAGATGGATTGGAAGTGGACCAGTCAGGACTCAAACCAGCACCCACATGGGATGCCGGCACTGCAGGCAGTGGTTTTACCTGCTGCACCACAGTGCCAGCCCCTGAGTAGTGTCTATATAATAGTGCCCCACACACACCCCAAATCCGTATTTTCTTTCTGTGGTCTCAGATACTTTGGGTCAGTGAAGGTCCAAAAGTATTACATGGAAAATTCCAGAAATAATCATATATTATGAGAGACAACATTCACATAAGTTTTTATTACAGTATATTATTATAATTGTTCTATTTTATTGCTCATTATTATTGTTATCCTTGTATGGCACCTAATATATAAATCAACTGATATAGGCACATCTATAGAGATGATCCCCATCTTAACAATGGTTCAACTTGGAATATTTTGACTTTGCCATGGGTCTTCCACACATGGGTCTTTCCTGTAGAAACCATACTTTGAACTTTGAATTTTGATCTTTCAGGTCGTACGATCCTATCTCTCCAGGCTGAGCAGCAGCCATCAGCCCAGCTCCCAGTCAGCCAGGCGATCAAAGGGAAATGACTGAGGCTCAGCAGTGTGTGCGTTGCTAAGCCAGGATGTTGGGTAGGTTGGGTATGTTAAAAACGTTTTCCACCTAACAATATTCTTGACTTGCCATGAGTTTATCAGGATGTAACCCCCATTGTAAGCTGAAAAGCATCTGTATAGGAAACAAAACATAGCACATACAGGGTTCAACACTGTACTCAATTTCATGTATCCTCTGGGGCTCTCACAATGTATCCCCTTTGGCCGGGGGAGACTACCATAGTTCAAATCAGCCTTTCCTAACACATTATGGCTGTGTGAGTCAAGCTGAGAAAATCTAGCTTCACAATTTACTGTTGGGATTGAAATCTGCCGAGGTGCTTTTGGCTTTGTTGCCAAAGCATATAAAATTTCCCCCATCCTGTAAGAGACACAACTAGTAAAGGAACCTGTGCTGAATTTGAGACAACTTTATGTTAATTTCAATAATTATTTCTCCCTGGAGAAAGTTACTTTTCCTATGAGAAAGAAAGGAATAAATGTGTTATCATCGCTGACATTCCTGAACTAGGCACAGGCTTGACTTTTGAGAAGTGGTAGGAAGTATTTATTGATTCAATAATAAACCTTAATCTATGAGGAGGAATTGTCAGGCGGATGGAGGGGACGGCACCCCAGTGGAAAGAACTGAGGGGTGAAATATGGTCAGTTTGAGCACAGGGAGAGGGTTGGGAGTGGGCTGGAGGATGAAGCTGGGGAGACAGATAGGGCCAGATCACAAAGTCCCATGTGCCAGCTAGGAGCTGGGATTTTTTCCTATAGAAGCCCCTGAGTGAAGGATAATATCAGATATGTATTTTAAGAAAAAGAATAGATGAGAGTGACGTTGGCTTAGGGAGACAAAGTGGAGATTATTGTGATATTACAGACACAAAATCAGGCAATGACAATGAGAAGTGGAGAAGAGGGAAGAAGCAGACATATGTTTAATAGGAGGAAACCAGATTTAGAGAGGAGGCATTTGGGGCTGGTGCTGTGATGTAGCGGGTAAATCCACCACCTGCAGTGCTGGCATCCCATATGGGCGCTGGTTCAAGTCTTGGATGCCCCACTTCAGATACAGCTCTCTGCTATGGCCTGGGAAGGCAATAGAAGATGGCCCAAGTCCTTGGGCCCCTGCACCCGCCTGGGAGACCTGGAAGAA